TTTTGTAGGTACTAAAGAAAATAAAGAGTAAATAGTTCTTGAATTGGATGCTCGAAGCATATGATCAAAAATCAAACTTTGTTATCAAGCTTCAAAAAGATGGATGGTGGTGTTAGTTTTGTTGATAATATCAAAAGAAAAAAATCATTGGCATTGAAGATATTGGTAATTATTCATTTCCCTCTATTGAAAGTGTTCTTATAAGCTGATAATCTCAAACATACTTATTTTGCATTTGCATGAAAAATTGTTTTCATATCAAATTTGATTATTCTAAATACTTTATTGAGGATGCTACATCAAAAGAGATAATAGGAAGCCGAAATAAAGATTTTTATGTCATAAACATTGAATTTGGAAGTGAAGAAAAATGTTTATCAAGTTTAAAAGATAATACTTGGTTGTGGGGAGAATAAAAAAAATAAAAAGATTTGGTCATGTTTGCATGGTCCTACTTTCAAATATTTCAAAAATTGATTTGTTAATGGTTTGGCAAATTTGGAAAAAGAAAATGTGATGAATGTCATTTTGGAAGACTAGTGAAGAGCTCTTTCAAATAAAAGTAATATTCTTGTACTACATGATCGTTATAACTTTTCCATATGAATCATTTTGGACCATCTAGAGCCGCAAGTTTAAGTGGTAAACAAAATGCTTTTGTCAATAGTGAAGACTTTTTTAAAATTTACTTGAGTCCTACTTTTGAATTTAAAGGATAAAGGTTTGAATGCATTGAAACATTTTTAAAATGTTCATAAATGGAAAGGGGTATACTATTAGTACAATTTGGAGTGATCTTGTGGAGAATCTTCACAATATTGCTTTTTCTGATTTTTGCAAAACTTATGGTCGTGAACATTATTTATTAGCTTCTAGAACTCCTCAACGAAATGTTGTAGTAAAAGAAGAATCATACATTCCAAAAATGGCTTAGACTATACTAAATGAAAATAGTTTACCAAAATAATTTTGGGTCGAAGCCATTAACACCCTTGCTATATTATGAATATAGTCTTGGTTAATCGAAAGAAAACCGAAACTCCATATGAACTTTAAAAATTGGAGTTCTCTATATCGATTACTTTAAAGTGTTTGGTTGTAAATGTTTTATCTTGAACATTAAAGAAATTTGAGAAAATTTGGTTCAAAATTTAATATTGGAAGCCTTCTTAGATATTCATTGACTAGTAAAGCTTATAGAATTTTCTCTATAACAAGAGAATTTTAGTCATTTAAAAAATCCTTGCATGCAAAATTTGATGAAACTAATACTCTTGATCAAGAGAAAGGTATTGTTAATGATGTAGGTTTGAATATTCCTTTGATCAAATGAATATTCAAAATCAAAATAAAGAAGGTTCTAAAAATGTTAAAAATTAACATGAGGAAAAAGCAAATATGCAACAAGATGAAGAAGAATCTTCCAAAGTACAAAGTTATCAATCTTTACCTAAGGAATAGATTCAAACAAAATACATCGTGGACATGCTCAATGAATTTAAAATGAAAGAGTTAAAATCAATGAACACTCCAATGAACTCACCAATCAAATACTCAAAAATTAAATCTTAGTGCCATAAAACAAATTTTTAGATATATTAGTGGCAGTATAACATTAGGTTCTTGGTATCGAAAGAAAACCCATATTGATTTACTTAGCTAAATGAGAAAAAATTCAATTGACCATTATTCCCAGTAAACCTCTAGCAATTGACAGACTTCATATACTTTGTAGCAAGATCAAATATTAGATTTCTTATATCACTAGTAAAGGTATTAATACATTGATATTTGGCAATAAATGTTTAAGCTCAAAATATTCCTATGCATTAAAAGTTATTTTGGTACAATGTTTTGATCAAATATAAAAGTGGTTTTAAAATTATATTTGAACTTCAAAAATATCTTTTATATTGAAAAATTAGTCAAAAATATTTTCCAAAAAACTACGCCTTTCAAAACCATTGCATAAGATCAAACGGGACCAAAACGTAAAAAGATCAAAACTGCCCATTGGTTGATCGGTCGTACGAGGCCAAGAGAGGCGGTCGACCAAAAAAGGATCCAAAATTTGACCCTTTTGCCTTAGATTTTCACTATATAAACAGTTATATTGGCCATCTGCAAAAAGGCAGTCGATCGGAGATGTCATCCAAACATACAATTTTTTTATTTTTTATGGCGATTTGAATCTCTATAAATATACTCACACTTTCCTTTTAATCACAAGACTTTCAAGAGCATCAAAGTGAAATAATTTTTGAGAAAATTCATTGAGCTTTCCTTTGCATTCATTTCATGTATTTCTAAATATCAAAAACTTTGATTGATTCAAACTCTTTAATCATCATCATCATCGAACTCATTCATCTCTCTTTTTGTACTTAGCCCCCATTTGGTCCCCATTTTGTGGTAATGAAAATGGGTGGAATAATGTTTTTTTGAAAAATGAGTGGTTGAAAAAGAAGGAAAAGTTTTCGATTTACGTGTAATATTGTTTTATGGAAGACTATGTGGTTGAAAATAGGAGAGAGAAAAATGAAATGGAATGAAAATTAATGGGGGCCAAACTGGAGCTTAATTTATTTCTATTATTCAAAAAAGATAGATGTATTTCGAAGAATATTTTTGAACTAACTCTTCTACATCTTCATACTGAAAACTTTAATCGATTGAATCAAATTTGTAAAATCATCTTACTCATCAATGTTTTTCATTTCTTTGTTGGTGCTTAATTTATTATGATCATTCATTAAAAAGAGAGACATATCTTGAGAAGATTTTTAAATGTACATTACATTTATTCCTCTTTCATCTTCTTATTGAAAAATTTTAATTGATTGAATCAAATTTTTAATTATTATATGCATCAAAGTTTTTCATCTAACACTTGAGCTAGCCTTTATTATTTTTTATTGAAGTGTTAGTCTCTTTTAATACTTACTTCATTTGTATAATTTATTAACAGAGAATTTCATTATAAAATCATTGCTTTAAGCTTGTAGGTCGTATTGAGGTCTGGTGAAAGCTTCTAGTATAAGGATCAGTGCTCCTTGTTGTAAGTTAATGTGTGGACCGTATTGAGGTCATGTAAAAGCTCAATAGTATGAGTCATATTGAGATTCAATAAAGTTAATATTGTATAAGGATGGATACTCTTTGTTTGTAAGTCATCGGAAACATTTTTTAAAGGATTGGATTGCACCACAAGTCAATCAATATAGTGAAAAGACATTGCTCGTGCCAGATAGCTTGATAACAGAGGACATAAATCATTTCTTTTCATCAAACCTCCATAATTATATCGTTTGCCTCCTTTCTACCCTTTTGCTTATTGTTATAAATTTATTATTTGATTAATCTACTTACTTTTATTTGCTTATCATTAATTGATCAATATATCCTTTGCTTGCTTGATTTAAATTTATTTTTCGAAAAGTTTTAAAAATTAACCCACCACCCTCTTTGTTAATTATTCTTAGGCTATCAGTAAAGATGAGGATGGTTCTCGCTCAGATGGACTTAGATGATACTGTGTTAGGGTTTGATGAGATGCCATCAACTTGAATGCACGAGGAGAAACAACGTAAGGACTGAAAGACAATCTACCAAATCAAATTCTTTCAGAAGTTTCCAAGGAGAAAAATATTGTTACATTATGCTTAAAGTTACAACAGTTATGCATGATGAAGCGCCTATCTGAAGCAGCGATTGTATTCTGATCGTATGACAAAAGTACATCTATAAAAGACCGCTTAATTGTCTTTAAAGAAATATCATTGATCCGGAGAACATGGAGGTTAAGTACGATGAAGAAGAAGAAGATTTATGATTGATTTCATTGCCTTCTTATGTCTTTTAGAGACACTATTTTGTACAGTCTTGATACTCTCGCTATAGATGATGTATATGATGCTCAGTTTTTTAAAGGAAAGATGAAGCAACTTGTGTTTAGATTTGAGACTTAGGCAGAGAGCGTTGTTGCTCATGGTGGTTATGTGAGCATGTCGAAGTCTAATATAGCGATAAAATATGTAATTATTGCAAGAAAAATGAGCACATCAAATTTGACTGCTATAAGTTGTAAAATAAAGATAAAAGAGCAACTACAAATCCAAAAATAAAAAAATAAAAAAAATATATGAAGCTAGTATTGCAGAAGATGCTTCAGTGATGGAGAACTTCTAGTTATTTTATACATTGACTCCAAACATTGCGAGGATTTGATTCTTGATATAGCTTACACGTTTCATATGCTCCCAATTGGTATTGGTTTTCAACATATGAAACAATTTCGAAAGGTACTATAATAATGAAAAATAACGTACCTTGAAAGACAGTTAGTATTGGAACGATTAGAGTTAAGATGTTTGACGGGACTGTCAGAATACTTGGTGATGTAAAACATGTTATAGATTTGAAAATAAATCATATCTCATTGAGTGCTCTTGATTCAAAATGGTACAATTATGCTGTGAAGATGGAGTCCAGAAGTTTAGTAAAGTTGCCTATATTGTAAAGAAGGGACAGAGAAGGTCTATATAGTCATGACAGGACTAATATTTGATTAATCAAACAAAGTCAAATGTACAATTGACTAACAACATAATAATGGCTCAATCGGCTAACATAATGTGTGGAGCTAGATCTCTCCAAATTTTCTTTCTCCATTTTGAATAAAAAAAAATTGGTGAAATGTTGAGTTTCTTTTCATGGTTAGATTTGCCTGAGATTATCACCCCATCTCCAAGAATTGTTCAACTTTTCGTCAAATATCTTCAAAAACTGTTCAACTTTTTGTCAAATAGTCACATGAAATAATGAAAAGTTATTATGTACTTCTCAAGTGACTATTTGATGAAAAGTTTGAATGATTTCCTTCAATTTACCCGTACATGAATCAAAAACGATGATTTGGCGACTTAAATGTAACAAAAATAAATGGGGACCCAAGTGAAACATATGATAATCTATAGGGATCGTGGGAAAGAATTTCCCTATTAAAATCTGATTAAAATTTTCGTATTATTACTTATTTGGTTATGCATAGGTGAATTGAGAAAACACAGGACAATCTGGACCGACTTGCATCAAACAAAATCCAACACGAGAAACATCAAACATGAGACAGTACTAATAGCATTATTACACAGACTATATCCCATGTTTTATTGCTACTTTGACACTACTCACGAGCAACAACCACCACCTGCTTCCCAACATTGCGACCGGAGAAAAGCCCTACAAGAGCAGCTGGTGCGCTTTCCAGGCCTTCGGCTACATCTTCTACATAAGTTATCTTCCCTTCTTTTATCAGTGGAAGCACCATCTCCAAAAATTTTGGATAGAGGTGGTAGTAATCAAAAACAAGAAATCCTTCCATACGAATACGTTTAGTTATAGTGCAGAATAAGTTGTGTACACCTTCTGGCTGCTCAAGATTGTACTGTGAGATCAATCCACAAACAGCTATACGACCCTTGATTTTCATGTTGAGAAGCACGGCATCAAGCATTTTTCCTCCGACATTCTCAAAGTAAATATCGATTCCATTAGGGAAATACCTATCAGAATAACAAACTGTACTATGAATTTTGTAAAGTGAAGAAAAGCAACCAAGCAAGCATTTTAAATATTTGCAACTCTAGGATGGATGAAGCATTACTGAGTGGGAACTAAACAAATCACAAACTCAATTCTCGTCATGAAGCCGGACTTATTAGCAATATAAAACCCCACGTAGTGCAACCATAGTTCATCTCTGGAAGAAAGAGAAGTTGGAACTCACCTTTTCAAAGCTGCAGTTAAATCCTGCTCTTCTTTATAGTTGAATGCATCATCAAAGCCAAATTTGGTCTTCAACAGATCAACCTTGAACCACAATGGACAAAGTAAGTATATAGTGGAAATGCTTTTGATATTCAGAGAGATACCCTATAAACTCTTCCTACACAAGAAATATGCATCATCAAATGTCAAAAGAACATTATCTCCCGTATGATTCTGCTAAAAAAATCATTAAAATATAAGTCAAAATCAACTATTAATTTTAGTCACACATTTCATGGGACCCACAACTTTTCAACCACACATTCGATCAACTTTTATCAAAATCTATTAAAATTCTAATTTTTATCTAAACCAAACAAGGGATAGCATGGAAGGATACCATTTTTTGAGCTTGTCTACTAGCTTCTCTGTTAATGGAACAACTTGTCAGTATCCCAAGGATCAAACTCAAAACTTTTTTCTAGCTTTCAGTAGAAACTTAAACTTAGATGTTATATGAGCCAAGATAACATTATCAAGGTTAAAATCAGCAAAAGACAAGATGTTTATATCTAAACACGCCCATCAGCATTAATTTTTTTCATTAACCTTATCTTTGCTTCCGGCACTTCCAACGACGTAGCATCCAAGCAACTTCGCAAATTGCCCAACAAGCTGACCAACTGCTCCAGATGCAGCAGAAACGAAGAGAGTTTCACCCTTTTTGGGAGAGCAAACCTCATAAAAACCGGTATAAGCAGTCATGCCAGGCATACCTAAGAAGAAATATATAGTAAATTAGTCAAGCAGCTAACAACTCTAAAAGTAAAAAGTCCACAAAAGTTTGGTACAATAAAGATTAAGGATTTCATAATCTCTTAAATATTCTAAATCACCCGCAAGAATGATGTGACACTGTAATAATTTACCATTGTCTGCCTGTGATTGTAAAAGATAGACCAAAAAATATGATATTATTATGTCACAGTGTCACAAACTGGCCATATCCAGCATGATACTGTATTTGTCTTGCTAAAGGGCATGATCAAATTATTCAGTGTCACCAAACTCGAATACTGGCCATATCCAGCCTGATGCTATATGTGTCTTGCTAAGAAGCATGATCAAATTATCAGTATGCAAGTGCTAGAAATTAGCCGATTTTGACAGTTTCGCGTAGACAAAGATCATGCCGAATGCTCACAGTGTGAGAGTCACAAGACAGAGAGAGAAAACTGAAAACAGAAAGAAAGAAAGATGAGACATAAAATAGGGGAAGGATTCCTTGATTTTGTTCAATAATGTTATATGTGTAATACAAAGAATGACCCCTCTTTATATAGTTCTTAATTAATTTAAGTAAGGTAACAAAAACTAGGGCTTATAAAACTCAATTAAGGCAACTCAATGTTGCATCATCAAAGTAATCTAGACGGCTGTATATTTAGGTTCGAAATGTCGTAAAACCATAAAATCCAAAACGTTGCAAGATTCTACATTCACCATTGACAAGGAAAAATATTCACACTTTGCATATATGGGAGCAAAGTACTCAAAAGCTCAATCATATTTATCACGAAAAAATAAAAATTTAGAGAGTTTTAAATGAATACAGAACTATATTCAGATGCAGGGGAATATAATGATGGTGAAATTGAAAACAGATATCATGTGGATGATGCCTCACAATAAAGAAATCCAATGTGTCAATGTGCTTCAGTGGCAATTAACTGTTACTATAATTTGGAGGATAAATATGTACTGTAGAATTGAGAAGTTAGAATGATCATCTTATTTTCTTAATGTATGGAAAAACACAATCTAGGATCTGACAAAACAAATATATTTTACCTCTGAGGAAACTAAAACCTGAAATAAAGTTGATTACATCATTGTCCTCGACACCAGATAAATTTTCTCAAATGGAAAACAATGTATGACCATGTCTGCTATCAAAAACAGGACTAATGTAAATGCTTGCAACAGGCTCAAGGTATCGGGCAATTTAACATCACTGTAGTAAATATTTTTCGATTATCATTCGGCTTATTATCCTACTATGCTATCCAGGGGAGCCAGTAATTCCTTTCGCACTTGCAAGAACTCAGAAAAAAATAGCTCAACTTACCAAGTATGCCCCTTTATGGTTGCACCAAAAACAGAACACTTATATTCAGTTATGATGCAATTTTTAAGAAAAGTAACTTACCAAGAATTCCCGTGTAGTAGGAGAGAGGCACATCTGTGTGCTGAATTTTAAATAAAGTCTCTGGAGCTTTAATAAGACTGTATTCTTCCCAGCCAGTCATTCCCCAAACCAGGTCACCCACCTTGAAGTTGAGATGAGCCGAGTCCACAACTTTGGACACTCCATATCCAACAATAGGCTAGATAATACATAAACGGAGAAGCACAATGAAAATGCAAATTAATCAAACGGATTGAGCTAACTGAAATAGTAGATAGTTGACATCAGTGGGGGAGACAGGTTTATCCTTCGGGGAAGTTAACTGATCATAAATCCAGCAATGCCATCTTTCTTACCATCTGTGAATGGTTGTAAGTGATCACGATGTGTTTTTAATAATAGCTAAACAAAATCTGCAAATACAATTGCTACCTCCATAAATTGTAGAAGGAATTCAAGGGGTGCTATTTTACGAAACATTAGTTTTCCCTAAATCATGTGAATTTATGATGTAGAATCGATGGCCAAGTGGATTTAGGAACAGTTGGACCAAAAAGGGAGAAATGGTAATTGTAGATTTGGCATGCGAGCTCCGATTTGGACCCATAATACCTTTTTCAAAAGGGAGCGACAAGCCCGTTTAGAACTCGAAAACTGCAAGTTTTAATGCTATTTTTGTTATTTAATTTATTTTGAATTCTTTTCAATTTTAGGGCTTTTAAACTAGGTTTTCATGTAAATTCTTATAAATATAAGGTTCATTCTTTGTTTTTAGGCAGTTTTGAATTAATGAAACATCTTGAATTTATTTTTCATTCTCCGGTGGATTCCATATTTGTGTTCTTGAGATTTTTCCTTCATACGGCGTCAATTTAATATACTTTGGTCATGAATCAGTAGACAATGCCACTCACATTTCCAATATTATTGCACACAATCGTTCAATTACAATGTACAAAGATCACTCAGGGGACTGTTTTAAAACTACAACCCCATTTTCCAGAACGAACTAATACATCAAAGACAATTGAGGATGAAAATTGAGGGGGCGTGAAAATGAATGACTTACAGTGCCGGGAGTATAGGACTCAGTGTAACCCCCCTCAGATTTCTGCATGCGACTGCGCATGTAAGGATCACAAGACAAGTAAAGATTTTTCACCAAAATTGCGTTGGGAGAATCCGCCGGAACCTTGAGTTTGATGCTTGAAGTTTTCAATGACATGTCTGATTCTTTTGGGAAACCTTTAATGTAATCATTGAGTACGATTTGCCTGTTGCCCACTTCCTCAGATCCCATTGCTGCTTGCTTGGATTATGAATGTGAGCTGTGAAGCGAAGGGCTGAGGGATCGAGACGCCTGCCTGAACCAAAATTGTAGGTCTTTCTGGTTCTTAAGGATATTACGTACGATTTTTTGTTTTCACACACCACACATTAATGTGCACTGAGCTGCCAATTGTCGTCACCACACGTATTGTTAAAGAGAAAATTGCAGCGGATATCCCTAACTTTTTGAAAACGTACAAATTAGTCTTCCATCTTGAAATCACTGCAATGCCATTCTCAGCCGGTATAAATACGATTAAACAAGCATTTGCACCTTTGCAGAGACAAATCTGTTCGTCAACTTTAAACTTTATTTCTCTGAAAAATCACAAACTGATTCACAGATGGTTCACATTTCTAAACGTAACCCCTTCTTCTCATCTCAAAGTTTGCATCATGTTTAGAAATTAATTTTTACAGACTTCGTATTTGAATATTTTTTAAAGAAAGGCCATGCACCTTCATGCGCTGATTTAATACGTAATTGAACTGTATCCATCTGAAGTAACTTATGCTGCTATATAGCAATTATTGATATTTAAAGGGTATGGTACTATTTGCACTTTTCGTAAAGGTCAAGGACTCATGCAGCAATTTTTCCGCTTATTAATGAGCATAAGATAAGCATCAATATTAATTATATCATTCCTCATATTATAATAAACACCGATTCTCATCTTATTCTAAACATAGATAAAAAAATCGCATCAATTAATTTATAAATAACAAATTTACATAAAACATTGAGACTTTCCATAAATATAGTCATTAATAAATTGATACTTAACGTAAGATATATATTGATGCTCATTAAATTATTCCGCTTGTATCATTAATATATGGCATATGCCATTCTTTAATCACTATTAAAAAGGAAGGCAACATAGACGAAATTTTAACGATGGACATATTCCATCTAATACCGAAGGATTAACAGTAGATTAGCAACAGATAATTAGGTTGGAAACTATATAAATGAATAAAATACTTACCAACGAAAAAAAATTTTGGTAAACATTTTAAATAAAAATAAAAATTTATTAAATAGCCAACTAGGAAAAAAAATCCATCAGAAAATTTTTGAAAAAAAAAAACATTTTCCTATTAAAAAATCCATTAATAAATTTTATTTTTCTCCTAATTCTTCTTCTATTTTAGTATTTTAATTTTATTGGGTTAAAAAATAAAAATAAAAATTGGAGGGTCGGTACCTTAAATTTTACCGGCTCTTCACGTGTCCCTTAAACAAACTAGAGGTTTTCTTATGTTGAATTTTTTTTTTTTTGAAGGGTCGGTACCTTGATTTTTATCGGCTCTTCCCGTGCCCCTTAAACAAACTAGGGATTTTCTTGTGTTAAAAAAAATTAATTCGGAGGGCGGTATCTTGAACTTTACCGGCACTCCCTTGCCTCTTAAACAAACTAGAGGTTTTCTTTTGTTTAAAAAAATAAAAATAATAATAAATAAATAAAAAAATAACTTTAAAGGGTCGGTACCTTGAACCTTATCGACTTTTCCCCCGCCCCTTGAAAAATTCAAGGGTTTTCTTTCGTTGAAAAAAAAACCGCTTGCAAGTTCGTTTTTTTTTTTTTTTAAATTTTTTCACCTTTTTTTAAAAAAAAAAAATTCATAATTTTGGACGAGCCCGCGAGCTCGGCTCGTTGGATCGAGCCCCCTGCTCAACTCAGGCTCATCAGCAGCCCACAAGCCAGATTTTAACGAGCCAACGAGCCACTCAACCCGTTTGATATCCCTAGTTGCTTGTATATCGGTAAAAAAATAAATAACTGATTAAGTAGGGATCGAGTCATTTGGTTTGGAGTTTTCAGAAATGGAGTAGTTGGATTTTCTTAATAATTTAAAGATATTTAATAAAGTAATTAGAAATAATAAAATTGTGAAATGGAAGGGAAAAAAATAAAGCAAAAAATTGGTTGATACTTAAAAATAAATAAATTGATCATCCATGTAAGATCCTAAGTTATTCTGAGTGTGACCAATTGTTTTCTATGTGTGAGAATTACTGATTGATGGAGAGAGTTTTGAATTAGTAGAACTAGGTTGTGAGTTGTGTGTAAATTTCTATTTATCCACGCTCTGTATGTCTTAACCTTATGGCGATATAAGTTTGGGAGTAGTCGAGCTGAAAAAAGAGATTATCTAGAAATGTACTGATTCCATATATGTTGAGTATATTTGTGTGGAGTGTATTCGATTAATGAGTATAAACGAGGTAATGACCATGTGCTATAGATCTAAGCTCCATATATAATATTTTCTTACTAAAAAAAAAAAGAAATTTGTAGGGATATTTCAAAACTTGGTACCGTTTGGTCTTTAAAAAAATCAAGGAAGTATCGACCTAAAACTATAATCATTAATCTTGCAAGAAATCATGCATTTGTAATTGAATTTGAGGACTCGGATTACAAATTAGTTTGAATTGCTTAGTATAAGCTTAAATGTCGAAGCATGCAACTTTGTAAAGAATTATCACATGTCCAGATTGTTGACATTATTAGTGTGACCCAACCAAATTAGAGCGATAAAAAATGAGTGACTTGAAAGTAACCAATAGATTAACATCTAGGGAAAGAAAAGAAGTATATATTTGAGGATTTGAACTTCATGAGTGAGAAAGGAAAGAAATGACCACTAAGGGTAGGTTTGGAATCAATTCGAAAATTTTCCTTCTCTAAATTTTTTTTCGAGTTTAGGTGATGATTGAAAGTTATACCCTAATCAAATATCGAATAAGTTCAAATTATTTTTGGTACAAATTATTTTTGGTAGCATTATTTGGAAGCATATTTGTGAATTGATTATATAATTTTAAACTCATGGATAATTTTGGCAAGTTGTCGAACATTGTAGATTTTTGTCATGTTATATTTGATTGTATTAGCAAATACTCTTACTTGGGACGCCATGCGCACGGCACAAAACAGGGACAGAGGTGACTTGTGTGAGTGCAAGTCCTTGCATCTATGGCAAATGGATGTGAAAAATTCATTTCTCTACAATGTTCACCTTCCTTCAATCTTTCTTGCATTCACACCACATAAATGAAATTTCACATTCTATCAAACAAACCAACCATTTATTCCGCATTCCAAACCAAGTCCAAAGTGTCCAACATCATTGAATGCTGCCATGTGTGCGCATGGCACAAATGGGGGCAAAACGTTCTGCCCCTTTTTGTTAAAAATGGATTTTTTTTAGGGCATTTTAGGGAATGTCTTGGATACATTTTTTAGGGTTTCTAATGACCCAAAACTTAGCCCATTTATCCATTATTCATTCAATAGATTGGAGGCAAGAACTAGGGCACGATAAGACAAGAAGAGGAGGAGAAAATAAGGGAAAATGGAGAGATTTCGAGGAAAAATAGAGATCAAGCTAATCTTCATTTCAAGATTCCAATTAAGGGACGGATTTTATATTTTTTCTCGTATTTTATTCTTTGTTCTTTCTAACGTATAATGTATTTCTTTAACTCTCCTCCTCTTTTTTCTTTTTTTTCCTATCATTTATAAACAATGAATTAAGTTCTTTATTTTGGGATGATTGATGTAGCTTTACCGAGCTTGATTAAGTTTCAATATTTACTCTATAATGTTAAAGTACTTATTTTCATGTGTATTTAATATTGTATTTAATGATTATCAGTTATTCAGCCATTAAATGATTGTGTCAGTGATTTGTGTAATCTTTGAGAGAATATTGTACATTTTAGATAGGTGTGACAAAAATACCCGTCAAACTCGATACTCACGGAACCCCACCTCGAATAGGGTGGGGATTACCCGATTAATCAGGTAATCGAGTTGGATACAGGGTGGAAAATTCCAACCCGAGGCAGGTACGGGTAACGGGGGTCTCGCCCCACCATGTTAAATTTTTTTTTAAAGAATTCAATACTTTAAATGGAAAAACTCCACAAATTTTCATTAATTCGAATAAAAGATGGCAACTAATATTATCTAAAGAATGTGATAAAAAATAAAAATCTTTGTTTACCAAATATATTCGAATAATTTAACTTTCTGATAATAAATATATTATTTCTCATTTGAATGAATAAAGGACAATAAAATGAATTATAAAAAACTATATATAAAAAAGGTAAATAGGTACGTAAACAAGGTCCCACCCCGTCCAGCCTTGAATGGGTAACATGGTGGGTACGGGGTGGGAAAATGCCCGCCTCGAACTCGCCCCATCCCGTTGCCAACCCTAATTTCGGATCAAACAGTAAATACACTAAGTACTTGAAGGAGATAGAAATATACTCCTAACCCTAAGTGATCCATTGAACTATTTTCAAAAATAATTAATGCAATCTATTGGGGTTCTAATCGACATTGAAGTATAGTACATTAACCTAATTGACTATGACTAATTTCACTCGAGAGAGTTAATTAGTTAAAAAAAAAATTAGGTCTAAGATACCAAATGAGTCATTTTCTTTTTGGCTTATTGAGAAATTAATTAGACAATGGTTTAGTTAAAATCATGAATCCCAATCACTTTATCTTCCCAAGTTTCCTTAATTTGTAGATTTGTTCTTTTGGTTATTTTTATTATTTTCAAATTCAAATTCTATTGTGTGTTTCGCTGTTAAAATTCAATTTAACTATTGTGTAATTGAGTAATCATTTCTCATTGGATCAACAATTCGAACTCATTACTCCTCTTTATTACTTGTATGCAACCCATGCGTTTACGGTGCACATTTTTTTAGTGAATATTATAAAAGGCTTTTCCTTTCTTTTCTTTTCTTTTCTTTTCTTTTCTTATTTTTGAAGGGAAGGGAAATAGCGTAAAGTAATTAAGTTTAGTAATTTTTGAAATGATCACAATAGCCAACAGCAAGAGAAAAATGATTTAGCTTTTAGGCCAAGAACACGAGTAGGTTAGTATATTAAAAGCTGATCTAAGATTCTAAAATTGGATCAGAATAGGTGCCTCTAAAAATTTGTTTTCTAGTCACAAGCTCCTAAGATATCGAAGAGTATTTGATTTAAACAATTGCACCAAATAATTCATACAAAATGAAAAATGAGCCCAAATCGAGTGATTGAAAATTTTACATGCCTCCAAAGACATAGAGGAATGTTCTAAA